ATGAGGCTCATCACCCGCCCATGAAAATCATTCGGATGGGTCCTGAGTGTTGTGACAAATGCTTGTCCAAGTGTCCTGAGTTCAGAATGAAGATAGAAGGGGGTTCAGTGAAGAGGTATGATATTGATTTTAATATCACCCAGGTATGTGTTGGCCCTGGAAGCAAGGCCAAAACCACCCCCAAAGTGCTGAGAAAGACTGTGAGCACCCAAGTGCCAAAAATTTCAGAAAAAGAAGAAAAACAACAAATAACACCCATGATCACAAAGATTGGACCATATGCCATTAAAAAGACAGGAGTTCAAAGGCTGCTGACAAACGTAAAATGGTCTCTGAAAAGCATAAGAATGGGAATGCAAGTAAATGTCTCTGCTGTTTGGCCAGAGCGTGCCCCGTTTCTCAAAATTCTTTCATAGATTGGATCAATTGGCTTCAAAAACATATGTCTCCTAAAAGAAAAAGAGACCTCACTGGACTATTAGGAGCTAACTGGACAGGATTAGGAGCTTTGAACACTGTAGAATCAGAATTATTAACGAATAAGCTGACTACAGTAGGGAGTGAGTTAGTCAAATTACAGCAGCCTCTGCAATCGTCCTTGTTGGCGTTGGGCAAGAAGCATTGGGAGCTGACTAAAGCGTTGCCCGAATGGGAAAACACAGAAGAAGGAGACCATGAATGGATGATTAAGGCACTAGGCAGAGCTAGTAAAGACATTTCTTTGGCTCTTGGCTGCACACAGGCACCGCTGTGGATGCACTCAGTGGCTGCTGCAGTCATTAGAGAAGGAGGAGAGGGGATATTCCCTGTTGAAATTCGTCAAATTGTTTGGGACAATGCTTCCAATACGGAAAGGGAACTGCAAGCCTGGTGGGTTTTAGTTAATTTCACCTATGATTTTATGGTAAGTGTGGTGACAGCCTTTGTCCTGACCATGTCTGATGTGTCAGTGAGTTTAATCTATTCAGTAGTGGCCCTAGGAGGAAATCATGAGAAAGCAGTGTTATATCCTTCAGAACACAGAATGTGGGCACGAGAGGTTGAGGGAAAGTGATGGACCATCGATTTGAAAGCCTGTTCTATGAGGAAACAATTAGGGTCCATATGTGAAGGAATTTTGGCAGATGATAAAGACACTTGCTTAGACACAGATCAGAGCACTTGTCACTTTGAAATGCATTCAGTGAACCAAACCACCTTGCTTGCATATGTAGGACAAGGTTGTGTCTGTCTCAGGACAGCATGTCCCACCATAATGGTAGACAATCAAATAGGGAATGAAACTCAGTTTAACTTGTGTGCTTGTAACTTTGTTGAAATTGAAGGCTGTGATTTTTCCTATCAAGCCCCTGCAGTGTCACAGCAATACCTAAAGGCAAATTTGGCAACAGTGCAAGAAATATCACCTGTGCCTATAGGAATGAATTTGGCCTTACTCACCCAATTGTTAAAACATCAAGAATTGAAAGAGATCCTAAAAGAAATTCAAGATGCAGGGAAAAAGACCTTGATTACTATACACCATGATACTGAGACAATCAAAAGAGTTTTAAGTGATTTGAAGAACACTTGTCTCATCAGTGGTGGGATGTGCTTTTTGGATGGTCACCAACAGCAACTGGTATACTTAACACCCTGATTCCCCCTATTGTCGTTTTGCTTATTTTAGTAGGCATTAGTTTGATTTTATCTATTGCAATGCTTGTTTGGAAATGGAAGATATTACGAAATGTGACAGCTTTGACATGGCTATCAACAGCATATGGCTTAGTCTTGAAAGATGCTGGCCATACAGCCTTGATGGATGAAGAGTCTGTATATTGAGTAAAAGAATTCACTCATTTTTAAGAGGAAGTGGGGAATGAAGCATAAACTTTGAAGAATTTAAGATATTCAAAAAGCTAAGACCTTAATTAAAAGTAATTTTTGTTAAATCTAATAAAAAACTAATCCCTGTTAAATTTAATAGAGCGGCACTACTAGAATGAGGAGGTAATCATTAGCCAATAACTAATTGTCTGTCGACCTTGTGTTCACTTTGGACTGAAAAGGTAGAAAGGTCACAATAAGGAAGAAATATATTCCTTCCTCCTTTTGTGACCACTTCCCATAAGAAGACCATCAACTCATTTCAAGGAACAAACTGTGCATGCTTAATTGCTTCTTTCTTAATTGGCATAGGAACCGGGGAGTGAGGAGTGACTGAGTTATGAATATGTATTTATATTCAATATCTCGGTAAATAAAAGCCTGTGTTCACCTGTACTCGTGGCCCTGTGTATTAAGGGGTGACCCTGCCCATCGGCCCAGCACTGCCAATAAACACACACTTTTTAACCGTAATCAGTTAAAGAGTCTTTCTCCGTTATAGTTGGATACTGATACTAGATCATACCCATATTTTAGTAAATCAACTCCAAGTTGCCAAGTTGAACTGATTCCTTGCAAGAATGAACAACAGGACTTGATGGTAATGCATAAAGGATTCGACAGCATGTGCCAGAGAACTTCCCTGACCATTCTAAGTCAGTGTCCAATTCAGGTTCCATCTGGTAATCAACAAGTTACTAAAGGGACCTCTGATGCTGTGCTTGTTCTCTTTCCTGCAGGGGCCTAGCAGGACATTCCAAATGCTGCCTTTCTGCCCTAAAAGGAAAAAGAGGAGCTGTGGCTGCTAAATGCAAAAAGCAAGCAGGGAACACAGCCTGTGTGGAACTAGGTCACACAAGCTTCTCACTCTGGCCTGAGGAAGCATAAGGAAGAATCCAAACAATCCGTGGAGAAAGACAACAATCTTTGTAGGTGTTGTTCAGGATCCTTGCTGTTTACTTGCAAGAAGCAGTCAAGGGGTGGCGTTGCACTTGTCCAATGATAATGATGTGTAAGTTTAATGCCCAGTAAGAGTTTTACCACTCGGACATTCTCAAAGATGTCTATAAATGAAGATCAAAAATAATAAATCTCTCTCTTGATCAACCCAGCCAGAGAGTCTGTGTCATATATCTCTCCGTTTCTAATATAGTGCGACACTTCACAGCCGGGTTCAGGGCACACTCAGCTTGGCTCTTCCAAAATCCAAGGCCTTCAGGGTGCTAAGCAAGACCTTTAACTCCACAATGCTGTGGAACGGGGCCTTCAGCACAGGGACCTTTCCAGCCTGATCTGCACTCGTTCTTCTGCGTCTCTGCACAAAACACAGTGCAGGTGAGAACGGCAGGAGGGGCCTGTGTGTCACAGCGCTCTGGATTTGTGACCTTCAACTCCACAGAGATGCAGGTTTAGTGAAAAAGCAAAACTGTTTATTGATGGGATGCGAAGCAAAGGGATGAGCTGAGGGGCAAAAAAGGGGATGGGCAAGGTCTGAGGGCGGGGGGATGGAGCTGTGAAAAGGGATGGAAACTAGTGGGAAAAAGAAGGGATGGGCAGTGTCTGAGGGCTGGAGGCATGGAGCTATCAAAAGGGAAGGAGAATGGAGGGAAAAAGAAGGGATGGAAAGTGTTTGAGGGCCACAGGGAGGGAGGTATTCAAAAGGGAGGGAAACTGAAGGGAAAAAGAAGGGATGGGCAGTTTCTGAGGGCTGCAGGGACAGAACTATCTACAGGCAGGGGGAAAGGGCTGAAGCCATGCGAGCTTCCCACAGGCTCAGCTGTGCCAGTTGTCAGCTGTGCCTGGAGCTCCAGCTGGTCTCTTCTGGTTTCAGCGTAGTCTCGTCTTCCATGGCATCTTATAGGAAGACTGGTTCTCCTAAAGCAGCAGACGAGTGAACTTCTGCTGTTCATTCAATAAATGTCTGCTGAAAAACTGTGCTCCTCTGAGAAGGGTTGTCATCTCTTCTCAGGACTTGAAGTGCTGCAAGAGAGGGGAACAGAGCCACGATCAGAGCCCGGATCTGTGGCAATCCTAGGAGAAAGTCCTGCCAGGGCCATGCCAGCCTGCTCTTGCTGTGGCCATGAGAGTGAAGAGGCCAACAGGATCAGCTGCAAGGTCCTGGTCACCCCACCCAAATCCGCCCCCCATGTCCCTGAAATCTCTCTGTGATATTCCCACACCACCAAGGTGTGCACACAAGGAGAGAAGCTCTCTGCAGCCGGGGCAAGGATTGCAGTTCCCCCAGTGCCAGCCCCTCACTGCCAGCTCTCACTCACCCTCGATGAGGGCCTGCAGCTCTTCCTGCGATGCCCTCAGGTGCTTCCTGGCCGTCCCTGGGAACACAGAGACTGTCAGGGCCCCGGCAGCACAGCTCCCTGCCAGCGGCGCTGCCAGCCCTGGGGCCACAAGCCCTCCCGCCCCGGCAGGGCTCAGCCCCAGCCCTTGCCGCATCCTGACTCAGCCCAAGGGCACGGCTGCCAGAG